ATTTCCGCAGCAGTGGAGCATAGTCTGCCCCAGGGATCATGGCCCCCTTTGCTAAGAAATCCATCAATACTACTCCGTGCTGGTCCCAAAATACTATGAGCATGACCTTACTGGCCGAGAGTTGGGCACATGCCTTCTATGGAGGCTTCCATCGCATCAACTGAACTTTAGTCTCAGGATCAGAGTGATGGACCAGCTTTCACCCTGCGGGATTGGTCTGTTGAAAAAGTTCTCCTGGTTTCCATGGCACATAGTCAATAAAGCCTGAGATCATTTGATTCGTTCTTGGTTCTGGAAAGGTGTGAGCAGCTGAGGGACCCAGCGAGCACATACCTTCTACATGTGAAGATGGACTTGGGTGATTTTTTCCATGGACTCCACACTAATCTTGACATTTTGGGCTAGGTGGCAAATGGTTATGCAGCAATTTTCCAAAATGGCAACCTCTACTCGCTGGATGGTATGTTCAGCATTAGCAGAGTGGGCCACAGCAGACAGGGCCACAGCAACACATGGCAGGAGATGGCTAGTGTAATATAAATTATATAGCATCATATTATTAGTAGTATTATTATATTGTATTACATTATAATATTATAAATATTATATGTGTATATATTATATTACATTACATTACATTACATTACATTATATTATACGCATAGCACAGATTATTTATTTGTCTTGTCAGGGCAACCAGTCAAATTATATTACATTTCTAACAGAACAAAGCAAACCAACAGACAAAATACAAAATTTGTGAGTTTGGTAGTTGATTAAATGTCCTTTGACCAGTATCTGGCCACTTGGAGTGCCTCTGGTGTTGCTGCAAGAAGGTCCTCCATTGTGCATGTGGCAGGGCTCAGGGTGCATTGCAGCAGGTGGTCTGTGGTTTGCTCTTCTCCACACTCACATGTCGAGGATTCCACTTTGTGGCCCCATTTCTGAAGGTTGGCTCTGCATCTCGTGGTGCCAGAGCGCAGTCTGTTCAGCGCCTTCCAAGTCGCCCAGTCTCTGTGTGCCCAGGGGGGAGTCTCTCATTTGGTATCAGCCATTGGTTGAGGTTCTGGGTTTGAGCCTGCCACTTTTGGACTCTCGCTTGCTGAGGTGTTCCAGCGAGTGTCTCTGTAGATCTTAGAAAACTATGTCTAGATTTAAGTCGTTGACGTGCTGACTGATACCCAAACAAGGGATGAGCTGGAGATGTCTCTGCCTTGGTCCTTTCACTATTGGCTGCTACTTCCCGGCGGATGTCAGGTGGTGCAATACCGGCTAAGCAGTGTAATTTCTCCAGTGGTGTAGGGTGCAGACACCCCGTGATAATGCGGCATGTCTCATTAAGAGACACGTCCACTGTTTTAGTGTGGTGAGATGTGTTCCACACTGGGCATGCGTACTCAGCAGCAGAGTAGCACAGCGCAAGGGCAGATGTCTTCACTGTATCTGGTTGTGATCAGTCAGCTTTTGTATGATATTGTTTCTAGCACCCACTTTTTGCTTGATGTTCAGGCAATGCTTCTTGTAGGTAAGAGCACGGTCCAGAGTGACTTCCGGGTATTTGGGTGCGCTGCAATGCTCCAGTGGGATTCCTTCCCAGGTAATCCTCAGAGCTCGGGATGCTTCTCTGTTCTTGAGATGAAAGGCACATGTCTGTGTTTTAGATGGGTTGGGGATCAGCTGGTTTTCCCTGTAATAGGCAGTAAGAGCACCTAGAGCTTCGGAAAGCTTCTGTTCGGAAAGCTCCCTGCTTGCGCAGTAATGGCACGATCATCAGCATAGATGAAACTCTCTGTCCCTTCTGGCAGTGGCTGGTCATTTGTGTAGATGTTGAACATGGATGGAGCAAGCACATATGACAAGGTGGAACTGTCCCCTGGCCCCCTCTTGATAGGCTTGTGTCTTTTGGATCCACATATTCAGACTGAATTATAGGTGTCTACACTGTGCATATAATGCAGCTTGAAACCTCATGGGGGCAGCTGTAAGAGTGTGGACACGTTGCCATAGCAACACTAAACCCGCCCCCCCTTCCCATTGGAGGCAACGCGCTCTCTTGTTTCCCCCTTAGTTAAAGGTTCTATCACTGCGCGTGCGCTGTTTACCAAGCCGAAGGGCGCATGCGCTCCTTGGGGAAGCAAGACCAAAGCAAGCGGGCCCTTTTGAGGGATGCTCGCCTTCGCAGCCTCGGCCTGGCTCCTTCCAATCCTGGAGGGAGGGAGGGATTTGGCGGCGCATGCGCAGTGGCTTCTCCCCCACTTCTGCCCGAGGAGCTTCCTTGGAGGCCTGTCACTCTCCTTTTTCGGGCTGCAGGCCCTTCTTTTGCTGGCAAGTATGGGGATCCCCTGTGGTTGGGTGTTGTTGGGAGGCCCCATTTGGGAAGAGGCTCCCCCTCCCCCTCCTCAGCCCTTTCCTCCTTCCACTTATGTCCTAACAAGGCTTCTGCATCCTCATATCACACCATTGCTATGCTGTCACCCATGTTGTTGCTCAATATCACATCCTCTTCATGCAACAATGCAGTCACACTTTCTGTTATTGGGCTGCTGTAAGTTTTTCGGGCAGTTAATTAATGTCACACTGGAATATTGTGTCTAATTCTGGGCACCACAATTGAGAGATATTGACAGAGGAGAGCGACTAAAATGATCAAGGGTGTGGAGAACAAGCCCTATGAGGAGCGGCTTAAAGAGCTGGGCACGTTTAGCCTGAAGAAGAGAAGGCTGAGAGGAGGCATGTATAAATATGTGAGAGGAAGTCATAGGGAGATGGGAGCAAACTTGTTTTCTGCTGCCCTGGAGACTAGGACGCGGAAGAATGGCTTCAAACTACAAGAAAGGAGATTCCATCGGAACATGAGGAAGAACTTCCTGACTGTGAGAGCTGTTCAGCAGTGGAACTCTCTGCCCCGGAGTGTGGTGGAGGCTACTTCTTTAGAATCATAGAATCAGAGTTGGAAGAGACCTCATGGGCCATCCAGTCCAACCCCCTGCCAAGAAGCAGGAATATTGCATTCAAATCACCCCTGACAGATGGCCATCCAGCCTCTGTTTAAAAGCTTCCAAAGAAGGAGACTCCATAATGTATATTATTATGTTACAATATTATTATTGTTATTCTATTACAGTATTATTGGTATATCATTGTGATGGTGTTGTATATTGTTATTATATTACAATATTATTAGTATTATTGTATTACAATATTATTAGTATACCATTGTGCAGGAGTTGTATATTGTTATTCTATTACAAAATTATTAGTATTCTACTACAATATTATTCGTATTATTATATGACTATATTATTAGTATATCATAGAATCATAGAATCAAAGAGTTGGAAGAGACCTCATGGGCCATCCAGTCCAACCCCCTATCAAGAAGAGGAATATTGCATTCAAATCACCCCTGTCAGATGGCCATCCAGCCTCTGTTTAAAAGCTTCCCAAGAAGGAGCCTCCACCACACTCGGGGGCAGAGAGTTCCACTGCTGAACGGCTCTCACAGCCAGGAAGTTCTTCCTCATGTTCAGATGGAATCTCCTCTCTTGTAGTTTGAAGAAATTGTTCCTCGTCCTAGTCTCCAAGGAAGTAGAAAACAAGCTTGCTCCCTCCTCCCTGTGGCTTCCTCTCACATATTTGGAAGCTTTAAAACAGAGGTTGGATGGCTATCTGTTGGGGGTGCTTTGAATGCAGTTTTCCTTCTTCTTGGCAGAATGGGGTCAGACTGGATGGCCCATGAGGTCTCTTCCAACTATGATTCTATGAATTTATTAATATTAACTTTTATTAATTTAATATTACAATTAATATTGGCCACGTTCTAGACCAAGGGTCCTCAAACGTTTTAAACAGAGGGCCAGGTCACAGTCCCTCAAGCTGTTGGAGGGCTGGATTATAATTTGAAAAATAATAATAATGAATTCCTATGCACACGGCACATATTTTATTTGTAGTGCAAAAGACACTTAAAAACAATACAATAATTAAAATGAAGAACAATTTTAACAAATATAAACTTATTAGTATTTCAATGGGAAGTGTGGGACTACTTTTGGCTGATGAGATAGGATTGTTGTTGTTATTGTGTGGTTTCAAGTCGTTTCAGACTTAGGTTGACCCTGAGTGAGGACCGTGTAAATGACCTTGGAGGGCTGCATTCGGCCCCCCGGCCTTAGTTTGAGGACCCCTGTTCTAGAGGCATTCTCTCCTGACGTTTCGCCTGCATCTATGGCAAGCATCCTCAGAGGTAGTGAGGTCTGTTGGAACTAGGAAAATGGGTTTATATATCTGTGGAATGACCAGGGTGGGACAAAGGACTCTTTTCTGTTGGAGTTAGGTGTGAATGTTTCAGCTGACCACCTTGAATGGAGCTAGGTGTGAATGTTTCAACTGACCACTCAGTGGTCAGCTGAAACATTCACACCTAGCCCCAACAGACAGGAGTCCTTTGTCTCACCCTGATCATTCCACAGATATATAAATCCATTTTCCTAGTTTTCCTGTATTTTTGCATTTTGTTTTTTCTGCCTAAATGAAGTACCCTATATTTCTCTTAGTTAGGCTTCACCTAAGTTTTTCTAAGGGCTGTTATGCTTATTTCTAGAGCACATACTGTAACACCTCTCCTTCAAAGCAATCCATATCAACAGTCAAGAGAATCCAGTTCTATTTGAGCTTTTCTTGAACATTGCTATCATGTTTTCACATCCTAAAATTGTGCACAGAATGACAGGACAATGTGCTAAAATCTCTTTGATGGTGGTTGCTATGGCAAATGGAACATTTGCCGAGTCTTTCGTGTTGTTTGGGTGTGGGCTGCAACAAGCAAGGATAGGCAGGGTCTCAGAACTCTGTCCAAGATGGAGATTTATGATCAATATGATCAGATTAAACAGATTTAATGGTCAGTTGTAAATTGCATTTATTATTCAAAGTGATACAAGCTTCAATAAATACACACAGACCGCCACACATGGTTTTGTTCCTTATATAATTGTAATTTTTCTTTCTTCCTCCTATCAGACTCTACCAGTTTCCCATCCCTTCACAATGAGACAGGGCTGGGTTCATTTCTTCCCTTCACCCTGTAGTTGATATTTCTAAATGTGGAGAAAGTGCTGGATTAGAGATGGCAGATAGTGTCAAGATCTTCCTTAATGATGTCATCAGGGTAAGTATTTCTTTTTCCTTTTGATCCTTGGCTTTATCTAGCTGTCATTTTGTAGCTTGGGGAAAAGAACAGTCTCCTCCTCCGTATTGTCGAAGACTTTCATGGCTGGAATCACTAGGTTCTTGTGGGTTTTTTCGGGTTATAGGGCCATGTTCTAGAGGCATTTTCTCCTGACGTTTCGCCTGCATCTATGGCAAGCATCCTCAGAGGTAGTGAGGTCTCTTGGAATTAGGACAATGGGTTTATATATCTGTGGAATGTCTGGGGTGGGGCAAAGAGCTCTTCTCTGCTGGAGCTAGGTGTGAATGTTTCAACTGACCACCTTCATTAGCATTTGAAGGCCTGGCTGAGCCTGGGAAAATCTTTTGTTGAGAGGTGTTAAGATGTGCCTGGTTGTTTCCTCTCTGCTGTTTTGCTGTTGTAATTTTAGAGTTTTTTAATACTGGTAGCCAGATTTTGTTCATTTTCATGGTCTCTTCCTTTCTGTTGAAATTGTCCACATGCTTGTGGATTTCAATGGCTTCTCTGTGTAGTAGGCTATATGAGTAGTTTAAACTAGTCAAAGCTATTCAGTTGGCAGTCACTTAAAATAACTACAAGGCAGTCCGCTCTTTTATTTTTGCCACAGTAATTATACCATTATTAGAAGGTGTTTCCCTCCCAGGAGAAGAAACTAATTATTTTTTGATGCCAGTTTTATGAAGGCTTTGAACACTTTATGATTTTGTTATAGGTCACTTGGCTACTAAAAGGGGATAGTGCTCATGAATTTGTTTGTGGCTGAAACTGAGTATTTCAATAGTCATTGGCACTCACTCTCACTTGAGAAAATGTCAAAAGAAGAAGAAGAAAGCAGATGAATTTTTGTATGTTTTTTGTATTTTTGTATGTTCTGAACACATGAGGTCGATTAAGAGACTGTATTTTCAGGCTTCTCAATTATCTGTGCCTGTGTTATATTCAAGGCGATTTCACATTATTGTTTGTATTAGTTTTTAAAGCCAAATTTCTTAACCTTTATGTTGAAAACATAGACAAAATGTCTATTTCAAAAACTCAGCAGGAGATGCTGCCGTAGTTCTAGTAATTGGCTCTGCATATCTCTTTAGAAGTCTTAATAGTGTATACATAATGTGCAGTACTTAATATTTGTGGCATCTGGAAATGATGTTTCCTTATATATCCTACAATAATTTATGCAAAAAAGCAAAATGGCATGGATTTGTATAATCAAGATAATCCTTAAATATTTTGCCTTTTCACGGCACAGAATGTGGACTAATTTATCATTTACGTAATCCCTATTTAGTATGTTAATATGAACAAAAGTCACAAAACTACAATGTCAACTCAGTGCCATATCTGCTACAGTGTATCAGTCACTTAGTGATTCTCCTCTGAGTATGTTTCCCTGAATGATCTTTCATCTCAGGCTGTGTCCTTATATTCCTCATTAATTTGGATATACGAGGGTTGAATGAAAAGTAATGCCTCCACCTTTGTTACTTGGGTTTGGATGGGAATATTTCTATAAACCAAACACAGAAATAATCCTTAGAATGTCCTTTTTAACTACCACTATTCACTTTTCCACATAATCACAAGACAATTGGATACATTTCTGCCAACGATGAACAAGTTTTCTGAAGCCGTCACGGAAGAAGTTGACACTGTTTCTTCAACCAGCGTCTCACAGTTCTCTCAATGTCTTTATCAGAAGCATAATGATGTCCCAGCAGATCTTCTTTCATTATCCGGAACAGATAGAAGTCAGACAGTGCTAAATCTGGACTGTATGGAGGATGTCATACGGTGGGGAGATCCAGTTTCTGAAGTTTCAAGTCTGTGTGCTTTCATTTCAGGCGTCAGCATCCTGGGTACCCATTGTGCACAGGTCTTCCGATAGCCAAGCAAAGCAGTAATGTGACCCACATGTTCTTGTGAAATGCCGATTATGCTTGAAATTTCTCTCTGAGTGATACGACAATCGTCCTGAATCAATCTGTCAACGTTTTGCTTGTGAAATTCGGTGGTTGCTGTCATAGGACGTCCAACTCTTTGTTTGTCACACAAGTCAGATGTTCCCACCTCAACATCTTTAAACATAACCACACAGTACTCACATCAACACAATCACCATAAACAGCTTGCATTCTCTGATGAATCTTCTTTGGGGTGACACCTTCTGCTGTCAAGAATTCAATGACTGCATGTTGCTTAAGTCGCATTGATCGATTGTCCGCTCAGGGTTCCATACTTTGCACTTTAACAACACAACTGTTCTATGCTAAGGCTTCCCGCCAAAATGAAACTGTAGGGGAGAGTCTACTGAACAAGCCAGTACCTGCCGGATGCCAGTACTGCTATCTGTTGAGGAGTTACAAAGGCGGAGGCATTACTTTTCATTCAACCCGTCGAACTTACTCTCAAGCATCATTGACAGAAATATATGATTATATCGAAAAATGTATAGTGGTAGTTAAAGAGCACATTCTAAGGATTATTTCTGTATTTGATTTATTAAAATATTTCCACCCAAACACAAGTAACGAAGGTGGAGGCATTACTTTTCATTCAACCCTCCTACAATATAATACGGTATAATAATTGCATATTATTATATGTAATATTACAAATTGATCAAAAAGAACAAACATATTGTCAGAGAAATTGATTTTCATGGTTTTAATCCCCTTTTATTCCTTTTAGTACCTACTCTATATTTCAAGGGTCCATTAACCTCTTCAATTTAAAACGCACAGATCCTTACAGACACATTCTCAAATTTTACACTTTTTGCATGGATGTTGGTTCACACACTTCAGTTGGGACTCCTTTTGGAAAAAGAACATTCATGCAGCAACTGGATGTCTCCACATTTTGTGTTTTTCGAGTTGCAAGAACATGGGCCCAGAGAGATCCATAGTTTCTTCAATATGGAATGAGGTGGCCTCTAACTTCTGGTTAGGGAGACAACAAAAATGAATTGGGTCACAGATAACACTCATTCAGCTGTAGAGGAGAGTCTACTGAACAAGCCAGTACTTGCCGCATACCACTATGGCCATCTGTTGAGGAGTTACGAAGGTGGAGACGTTACTTTTCATTCAACCCTCGTAAGAGGAAAGGAAGTTGGGAAAATGACTAAGTAGTCTCCTTTCTCTTTCCCAGAGTCACCCAACACCTTTAAAACTGACATGCCACCATCAACAAGCCTTTAAAAAGTTTTCTTACTCCTTTTCATGTATGCCAGTCCCCTCCTGATGCCCTTTTTATGTTCACAGGGAATTAAAGATTCCATATGGGGGATCTGCACTATCTCCAAGCTGGATGCTCGGATCCAGCAGAAAAGAGAGGAACAGCGAAAAAGGAGAGCAAGCAGTGTCCTTGCCCAGCGAAGAGCACAGACTGAGGAGAGGAAGCAAGAGACGTGAGTGCAGGGGCACCTGGGCGGGAGGCTCAGGGATTAGGTCAAACTGCTCCCTTTTTATTCCAAGACATAAATTGACCTGAAGACGTCAACATATTTAGTTTGCCATTCTAGAGAGAGGGCTGCTGTTCTAAAAGGCATTCAGCTTTTGAATTCTGAGACACATATACATATATGTCCCCTGCCACGCGTTGCTGTGGCCCAGTCTGTTGATCTGGAAAATAAAGTAATGAGAAAGTGTTGGTTTCTAATATATGTAATTTCCTTATGCTTGTGGGTAAACAGTATTTTTTGCTGTTTCTTTGTCAGTGTTGATGTAGAGAGTGTCTGGTTTGCCCACCCTGGAACATGCAACATATCATTGTCCTTCTTTAAGGGTCCCTTTCAAATCTATGATACTATATCTGTGTGTGTGTGTGTGAATAATATCTATCTATCTATATCTATGGCTGGATGGCTTTTTGTCAGGAGGACTTTGATTACGTTTTCTTGCCCTAATGAAGAAAGTTAGACTGGATGGCCTTAAGTATTTCCTGTTGGTCATGGGGGTTCTGTGTGGGAAGTTTGCCCCAATTCTGTTGTTTGTGGGGTTCAGAATGCTCTTTGATTGTAGGTGAACTGTGAATCCCAGTGACTACAACTCCCAAATGTCTATTTCCCCAAACTCCATCTGTGTTCATATTTGGGCGTACTGAGTGCTTGTGCCAAGTTTGGTCCAGATCCATCATTGTTTGAGTCCACAGTGCTCTCTGGATGTAGGCCAACTACAACTCCCAAATTCAAGGTCAATGCCCACCAAACCCTTCCAGTATTTTCTGTTGGTCATGGGAGTTCTGTGTGCCAAGTTTGGTTCAATTCCATCATTGATGGAGTTCAGAATGCTCTTTGATTGTAGGTGTATTATGAATCCCAGCAACTACAACTCCCAAATTACAAAATTAATTTTTTTGAGTGATGGTTGCCCCTTGGATTAGAAGGTGTCTTTTGGCCAAATTTGGTGGCAATTCGTCTAGTGATTTTTGAGTTAATCCCAGCAACTACAACTCCCAAACTCAAGTTCAATGCCCACCAAACCCTTCCAGTATTTTCTGTTGGTCATGGGAGTCCTGTGTGCCAAGTTTGGTTCAATTCCATCGTTGATGGAGTTCAGAATGCTCTTTGATTGTAGGTGAACTATAAATCCCAGCAACTACAACTCCCAAATGACAAAATCATAATTTTTTGAGTGATGGTCACTTCTTGTGTTGTGAGATGTTTTGTTGCCAAATTTGGTGTGATTTCGTTAATTGGTTCTTTTGTTTTTAAGGTACTCATTATGCACAGAGCATTTTATATATATATATAAAAATGCTCTGTGCATAATTACATTTGGCCCGGCCATAGGTTTTTAAATGCTTGCGTGTTACCATCTATTGTTTATTGTTTATTTTTTGTTTATGTGATTTATTTTAATTGTATTGTATTGATTTTTGTTATTGCTTTTGTTTATTGTTGTACTGTGGGCTTGGCCTCATGTAAGCCGCACTGAGTCCCTTGGAGAGATGGTAGCGGGGTATAAATAAAGTTTTTATTATTATTAATATTATTATTGTTATTACTTCCTTTGTTTCTTTCTAGTGAACCGCGGATAGTAAGTCGAATATTTCAATGTTGTGCGTGGAATGGAGGTGTATTCTGGGTAAGTGGTGCGTTTTTGATTTTTTGTAAACATGTGAGCCTCATTTGAAATGTTGCACTGCTTCGTTGTATGTGCATTGACTAATCTGGGTGGTGCAGCAAATGGAGAAAGAAACAAATGAATATAAAGTCATATTCCGTTCTTTCGTATGGTGGTCTGCTATTATAAAATCCAAATCAGATTTTCCCCCTTTTAAATTGATCCTTATTTCATAAGGAGGCCAGCTTAGTTCTTGTTCTGCACTGCAGAAGCTGTCTGTTTGGTCAAGCAGAAAATGCTTTACTAGTTTGCTGTGAGGTTTCCGGGCTGCATGGGCATGTTCCAGAAGCATTCTCTCCTGACGTTTCGCCCACATCTATGGCAGGCATCCTCAGAGGTTGTGAGGTCTGTTGGAAACTAGGCAAGTGGGGTTTGTTTGTTTATTTATTTATTTATTTCGGGTACTTTTACCCCGCCCTTCTCAACCCCCGAGGGAGGACTCAGGGCGGCTTACAAAAAAGGCACAATTTGATGCCTATACAAATTACACATAATATACAAAACCATAGTTAAAAGCAATTATCACAGTTAAAACAATCAAACAACCAGTACATAACACATCATATAAAACTATTCTCGTGCTCAGCGTTTCGTCTTTCAGAGTTCCATAGTTCTAATCCATTAATCATTTCCTAATCATCGTCAAAGTTCTTTCTTTATCTGCCCGATTGTCCGAATGCCTGGTCCCAAATCCATGTTTTCAGTTTTTTCCTAAAGAAAGGAGCGATGTTGCAGATCTAATTTCCCCGGGGAGTGAATTCCACAGGCGGGGGGCCACCACCGAGAAGGCCCTGCTCCTCGTCCCCGCCAACCTCACTTGTGATAAAGGCGGGGTTGAGAGCAGGGCCTCCCCAGAACATCTTATACTCCGGGGTGGGACGTAGAGGGATCTGTTGGAAACTAGGCAAGTGGGGTTTATATATCTGTGGAATGTCCAGGGTGAGAGAAAGAACTCTTGTCTGTTGGAGGCAAGTGTGATTGTTGCAATTGGCCAGCATGATTAGCATTGAATGGCCTTGCAGCTTCAAAGCCTGGCTGCTTACTGCCTGTTTATATGTCCGTGGAATGTCCAGGGTGGAAGAAGATGTTTGTATTACATTTTTAACAAAAACAAACAAACAAACAAACAGACAAAACAAGTTTGCAAGCTTGGTAGTTGATTAAATGTCCTTTGACCAGTATCTGGCCACTTGGAGTGCCTCTGGTGTTGCTGCAAGAAGGCCCTCCACTGTGCATGTGGCAGGGCTCAGGTTGCATTCCAGCAGGTGGTCTGTAGTTTGCTCTTCTCCACACTCGCATGTCGTGGATTTCACTTTTTAGCCCCATTTCCTAAGGTCTGTTCAGCGCCTTCCAAGTCACCCAGTTTTCTGTGTGCCCAGGGAGGAATCTCTCATTTGGTATCAGCCATTGTTTGAGGTTCTGGGTTTGAGCCTGCCACTTTTGGACTCTCGCTTGCTGAGGTGTTCCAGCGAGTGTCTCTGTAGATCTTGGAAAACTATTTCTTGATTTAAGTCGTTGACGTGCTGGCTGATACCCAAACAAGGGATGAGCTGGAGATGTCTCTGCCTTGGTCCTTTCACTATTGGCTGCTACTTCCCGGCGGATGTCAGGTGGTGCAATACCGGCTAAACAGTGTAATTTCTCCAGTGGTGTAGGGCGCAGACACTCCGTGACAATGCGGCATGGGTGAATTCTATGTTTGGAGGTGTTAGCTGGTCTTGATTGATTATTGTTTGGAATCCCCCTGTTTTATGTGTGTTCTTTCTTTACTGTTCCAATTTTAGAGTTTTTTTTAATACTGGTAGCCAGATTTTGTTCATTTTCATGGTTTCCTCCTTTCTGTTGAAATTGTCCACATGCTTGTGGATGTCAATGGCTTCTCTGTGTAGTCTGACATGGTGGTTGTGAGAGTGGTCCAGCATTACCATTATCATTATTGCTATTTGTGACGAGTGTTAATGCTGGGCCACTCTCACAACCACCATGTCAGACTACACAGAGGAGCCATTGAAATCTACAAGCATGTGGACAATTTCAACAGAAAGGAGGAAACCATGAAAAAATTTTCTCCCACCCTGGACTTACCACATATATATAAACCCCTCTTTCCTAGTTTCTAACAGACTTCACAACCTCTAAGGATGCCTGTGGGCAAAATGTCAGGTGAGAATGCTTCTGGAACGTATGATGATGATGATGATGATGATGATGATGCTGGTAATCATAACAATAACTTCAGCCTGGAAAACTCACAACAACCCAGCGATTCCAGCCATGAAAGCCTTTAACAACACAATGCTTTACTGGTTGATTTCAGTTCGAGAATCATGTGTGTAAGAGTCCCTTCATTTTTAAATCGTTTTTCTAGTATACACCAAATACATTTGTATAGCTAATTCTATATATTGTGTTGAGTGGAGTACTCCTGAGAAGAGTAATGTATTAGCTACATCTGATATAATAGAGGTTTTGTAGCCTTGATTATTTGTTGTCGGCTTTAATCTTCCATTTAGTGGTGTTGTCTACACAGGCCTCAACATGATTTTTTTTTTTTTTAGCTTAGTCTCTTCTTGTTCTATCGAGTATTCATCCCTGTTCTTCAGTCAGCAACAGCACATATAATTGGTAAGTTCATAAGTGCTAATTCGGTTAACCTTGTTGATTTCTCCTTTTCATTTTGAAGAAATACTTGAACTTGTGTTTCTTGAATTCTTTAAGTATGGCATATCTTTTTTATAAACAGAGGCTGGATGGCCATCTGTCAGGGGTGATTTGAATGCAATATTCCTGCTTCTTGGCAGGGGGTTGGACTGGATGGCCCATGAGGTCTCTTCCAACTCTTTGATTCTATGATTCTATGAAGTTCTGGGCCCAGTTCTGTTCAACATCTTTATTAATGACTTATATTGTGCTATGCTATTTATTTATTTACAGTATTTATATTCCACCCTTCTCACCCCAAAGGGAACTCAGGGCAGATCACAGAACACATATCTGGCAAACATTCAATGCTGATTATACAATGACAAGACACACAACAGTACAGATAGAGGTACATAGGCTTTTCCCATTTTTGGTGTCTTGGAGGTTGTGCTTGATTTCGACCACAGGAGGGTACTGTCACTCCATCCTCCATGTGAAAGAGCCATGTTCACAGACTTCTTTCTTTTTGATTAAATTGCCAGCATTTCCTGGTATTTTCTTAGTAAGTCCAGTCGTGTCCGACTCTGGGACTCTGGTGCTCATCTCTATTTCTAAGCCGAAGAGCCAGCGTTGTCCGTAGACACCTCCAAGGTCATGTGGACTGCATGGAGCGCTGTTACCTTCCCACCATAGTGGTACCTATTGATCCATTCACATTTGAATATTTTTGAGCTGCTGGGTTGACAGGAGCTGGGGCTAATAGCGGGAACTCACGCTGCTCCCCGAATTCAAACGACTGGCCTTTCAGTTAGCAAGTTTAGCAGCTCAGCAGTTTTACCCACTGCGCCACTGATCCCAATGGCGCAATTAAAATACCTCCCTGATTAAGCGGCACTGCTAGGCTGGCAGTGAGCTGGGCTGGATGTCAGACACTCACCCCAGACCCGGGCTTCGAACTACCAAGCTTTTGATTGGCATAATAATATGCTAATAATATAATATAATGTAATGTAATGTAATATAATATAATTGTATATACATATAATATTTATAATATAATGTAATACAATATAATACCAATACTAATAATATGATATTATAATTATATATGTTACATTACATGTAATATTACTAATAATATTACAATATAATGGTATAGTACACTATAATAATATATAATACTGATAATGTACTATGCTAATAATATAATATATTGTATGTATATATATCTTGTAAGCCGCTCTGAGTCCCCTCAGAGCGGGGTGAGAAGGGCGGCATAGAAATGTATAAATAAATAAATAATAATAAATAAATGAAGGTTAGAAGGCATGATTATCAAGTTTGCAGACGACATAAAAATTTATTTTTATTTTATTTATTATTTGAACTTATATGCCGCCACTCCCCTGGGGCTCGGAGCGGCTTACAAGAACAGGCTGAAATCGAACACAATTTAAAAACAATTTAAAACAATTTAAAAACAATCAGAGATCAAAGGCCCATCGAAATAGATATGTCTTACATGCCCTGCGGAAAGCTGATAAATCCCGCAAGGCACGGACTTCAGGTGGCAGAGTATTCCAGAGTGATGGTGCCACTGCTGTAAAGGCTCTGCGTCTGGTTGCTGTTAGACGCAAGGTCTTGACACTGGGAATTTCCAATAGATCTTGGTCCTCAGAACGGAGGGATCTCTGGGGTTGGTAGGGGGTGAGGCGGTCCCTCAGGTACATCGGCCCCAGACCATGCAAGGCCTTAAAGGTGAGTACCATCACTTTGAAAGTGATCCGGTGCTCAATTGGTAACCAATGCAGCTGCAGTAAGACTGGTGTTATGTGGCATCTCATCGGAATTCCCGCAAGAAGCCGAGCAGCTGCGTTTTGTACCAGCTTGAGCTTCCGGATCACTGACAGAGGAAGGCCAATGTAGAGGGCGTTACAGTAGTCCAGTCTTGAGATGACCGTAGCCTGGATCACCAGTAGCTAGGTCGTCCCTGGACAGATAGGTCTGCCAGTGCCATATTGTTGTGTGCTTCTGACTCAAGTATATTTTAAAATGTAGGGTTCACTATTATACACTGTTTTATCTATCCCTTGCATATTATACAAGGGTCATACTGTACATGCTGAGCCCTTGGCTTGTACTGAATTCCAATGAATGTCTATATTTTTGAATGGCACTAGAAATAAACATGCAGGCAAAAGGGAAAATGTAGATTCTCCTTGGGTTAATTAAAGTTAAAGCAGACTAGATTATTTTTTAAAAATAGGTTGATATGCCAACGAAGGCCGAACTTCTTAATGAAGGGAGGCTATAAACTCTGGACCGTGCTCTTACCTACAAGAAGCACTGCCTGAACATCAAGCAAAAAGTGGGTGCCAGAAACAATATCATACGAAAGCTGACTGGCACAACCTGGGGATCACAACCAGATACAGTGAAGACATCTGCCCTTGCGCTGTGCTACTCTGCTGCTGAGTATGCATGCCCAGTGTGGAACACATCTCACCACGCTAAAACAGTGGATGTGGCTCTTAATGAGACATGCCGCATTATCACGGGGTGTCTGCGCCCTACACCACTGGAGAAATTACACTGCTTAGCCGGTATTGCACCACCTGACATCCGCCGGGAAGTAGCAGCCAATAGTGAAAGGACGAAGGCAGAGACATCTCCAGCTCATCCCCTGTTTGGGTATCAGCCAGCACGTCAACGACTTAAATCTAGACATAGTTTTCTAAGATCTACAGAGACACTCGCTGGAACACCTCAGCAAGCGAGAGTCCAAAAGTGGCAGGCTCAAACCCAACCTCAACCAATGGCTGATACCAAATGAGAGACTCCCCCCTGGGCACACAGAAGACTGGGCGACTTGGAAGGCGCTGAACAGACTGCGCTCTGGCACCATGAGATGCAGAGCCAACCTTCAGAAATGGGGCTACAAAGTGGAATCCTTGACATGCGAGTGTGGAGAGGAGCAAACCACTGACCACCTGCTGCAATGCAACCTGAGCCCAGCCACATGCACAATGGAGGACCTTCTTGCAGCAACACCAGAAGCACTCCAAGTGGCCAGATACTGGTCAAAGGACATTTAATCAACTACCAAGTTGGGACCTTCTTGCAGCAACACAGAAGCACTCCAAGTGGCCAGATACTGGTCAAAGGACATTTAACCAGCTACCAAACTCACAAGTTTTGTATTTTTCTGTTTGTTTGCTTTGTTCTGTTAGAAATGTAATATAATGGACTGGTTGCTCTGACACGACAAATAAAAAAATAAATAAATATGTTGCCATTATTATTGCTCAAACTGTCTTCCAACCCCTATTGCCAAGAAATGAGATTTGTATTCTGGAGCTTTTACATTTTTGTCACAGGAATTGAGGCGTTCTGCCTATGTTCTATGTACATGTTCCTAATGACACCCTTTTCTCTGCTTCGAAGGTGACCCCTCTTTACATGGTGATGTCTGGTCATGGTTGGAATTCATCCTCACGTCCATCTTCAGTGCCCTTTGGGTCCTTCCTCTCTTTGTTCTCAGCAAAGTTGTCAATGCCATCTGGTTTCAGGTAAGTGATTGTTCTCGTCAGAGTACGAGGGAAAAATTAGAGAATGTTTCGGTCCAGAATTAGTTAAATAGAATATGGGTAAAAGCTTTTTAAGAAGAAGTAACATGGAAAATAAAGTTAGAGAGAGGAGAAATATATATATTTTTTCTATTTCAAACCATGTATTGGTGATACCATACATACCTGAATATAAGCTGGGGTTTTCAGCCCTTTTTAAAGTTATTTATTATTTTACTCTGTTATTATTATTATTATTATTATTATTACATTTATTATTTTACTCTATTGTTACATTTACATTATTTTACTCTATTGTTATTTTTATTGCATTTATTTTACTTGATTTATTATTGTTATTATATTAAAATTTACTCTATTTTTATTACTAGATTTATTATTTTACTCTAATATTTTTCTATTTATTATTTTACTCTATTATTATATTTATTATTTTATTCTATTATTATTCCTTTTATTATTTTACTCTATTATTGTTACATTTATTATTTTACTCTATTATTATTACATTTATTATTTTACTCTATTATTATTACATTTATTATTTTACTCTATTATTGTTACATTTATTATTTTACTCTATTATTGTTACATTTATTATTTTACTCTATTATTGTTACATTTATTTTTTTACTCTATTATTATTACATTTATTATTTTACTCTATTATTGTTACGTTTATTATTTTACTCTATTATTGTTACATTTATTTTTTACTCTATTATTATTACATTTATTATTTTACTCTATTATTGTTACATTTATTATTTTACTCTATTATTGTTACATTTATTATTTTACTCTATTATTATTACATTTATTATTTTACTCTATTATTACTGTTATTATTACATTTCCATTATTTTACTCTATTATTATTGTTATTATTACATTTATTATTTTACTCTCTTTATTATTATTGGAAGGATATGTAAGCACATTTACATGAAGGTTAGAATAATGGTTTAATCAGAGTTGGACAGTCTTATCTTAAATTACAGTTTTATGTAAATATTCAAAAACATTTAATCTACTGATGCCTCCATTAATGTAATTGTATTGATATCTATTTTTATTTTGAAATTTACCACTAGCTGCTACATTTCCCATTCTCGGCTTATACTGAGTTCAATACGTTTGGGAAAAATAGGTGCTTTGGCTTATATTTGGATCGACTTATATTCGAGTCTGTACAATATATGCTAGGGCATCCCCTGGGCAACGTCCTTGCAGACGGCCAATTCTCTCACACCAGGAGCGATTTGCAGTTCCTCACATTGCTCCTGACACAAAAAAACAAAAACAAACAAAACAAAAACCAGGAGAATAGCAGATCTAAATCACGCTTACATCAGGTGAGATTTTGAATAAATGAGATGGGGAATATATTACTATTATTAATACAAATAGACTTTAAGTAGAGGAAAATCTATGAGACAATTGACAAGGAAGTATTTAGTACTATGATTGGGGGAAGGAGGGGTGTGATAAAAGGAAAAATTAGATTATGATTTGTTGTTGTTTTATATTATACATATAAAAATAAAAGCAGTATTTTTTCAAAAAAGAAAAAAATTGCAATATGTTCTGCTAAAACACAGACTTGTATTCCAGGATATTGCTGATCTGGCATTTGAAGTGTCAGGAAGGAAGCCCCAGCCTTTTCCCAGTGTCAGTAAAATTATTGCTGATATGTTGTTTAACCTTTTACTGCAAGCTCTCTTTCTCATCCAGGTAAGATTCAGACTGCATGGGGATTTTGTGGAACAATAGAAATTGTCGAAGGCTTTCATGGCTGGAATCACTCCGTTCTTGTGGGTTTTTTCGGGCTATATGGCCATGTTCTAGAGGCATTTCTCCTGACATTTCGCCTGCATCTATGGCAAGCATTCTCAGAGGTGACCTCACCTCTGAGGATGCTTGACATAGATGCAGGCGAAATGTCAGGAGAAATGCCTCTAGAACATGGCCATATAGCCCGAAAAAACCCACAAGAACTGAATAGAAATTGGGATATAAACACCACTTAGACCAGTGATTCTTATCTTTGGCACCTCCAGATGTTTTAGACGTTCAATTGTCAGAAGTGACTAATATCTATGATGGCTGGGGCTTCTGGGAATTGAAGTTTGAAATATCTAGAGGGCCGCTGATCTTGTCTTGTTATAAGACAGAACTGGGCAAGTCTTTGAAGGATTTAGGCTTTAGGGCAGTGTTTCTCAACCGGCGAGTCGGGACTGGGGTGTGTGTGAGGGGATGTCAGAGGGGTCGCCAAAGACTATCAGACAACACAGTATTTTGTGTTGGTCATGGGGGTTCTGTGTGGGAAGTTTGGCCCAATTCTATCATTGGTGGGGTTCAAAATGCTCTTTGATTGAAGGTGAATTATAAATCCCAGCAGCTACAACTCCCAAATGTCAAGGTCTGTTTTCGCCAAAATCCACCAGTGTTGACAACAGGGCATATTGAGTATTGGTGCCAAGTTTGGCCCAGATCCATCATTGTTTGAGTTCACAGTGCTCTCTGGATGTAGATGAACTACAACTCCAAAACTCAAGGTCAATTCACATCAAACCCTTCCAGTATTTTCTGTTGGCCATGGGAGTTCGATGTTCCAGGTTTGATTCAATTCCATCGTTTATTTATTTATTTATTTATTTATTACAGTTACTTTTACCCCGCCCTTCTCAACCCCCTAGGGGGGACTCAGGGCGGGATCGTTGGTGGAGTTCCAAATACTCTTTGATTGTAGGTGAACTATATATCCCAGCAACTTCAATTCCCAAGTGACAAAATCAACCTCCTCCAACCCCTCCAGTATTCACATTTGGGCATATCAGGTATTTGTGCCAAATTTGGTCCAGTGAATGAAAATACTTCCTGCATATTTACATGAGGATTCATAACGGTAGCAAAATTACAGATGAAGTAGCAACGAAAATAATGTTATGGTTGGGGGTCACCACAAAATGAGGTACAATATTAAGGGGTCGCAGCATTAAGAAAGTTGAGAAACACTGCTGTAGGGTCTGAAACAGTGAGCCTTTATAGATAGAATGATGAAGTTAGGGAGGTCATGCAAGGGGAGTGATCTATTCTCCACGAGTCAATAGCCAATAGCTCCACTGGCTGCCGATCAGCTTCCGAGCACAATTCAGACTGCTGGTTTTAACCTTTCAAGCCCTAGACAGTTCCATTTTGGCGGGAAGCCTTAGCTTTGAACGGTTGTGTTGTTAAACTGCGAAGTATGGATGCTGACGGTCGGTCAATGCAACTTAAGCAATGTGCAGTCATTGAATTCTTGACAGCAGAAGGTGTCACCCCAAAGGAGATTCATCAGAGAATGCAAGCTGTTTATGGTGATTGTGTTGATGTGAGTACTGTGCGTCGTTGGGCGAGTAAGTTTAAAGATGTTGAGGTGACACCTTTTGCTGTCAAGAATTCAATGACTGCACATTGCTTAAGTAGCATTGTCCGACCGTCTGCGCAGGGTTCCATACTTTGCACTTTAACAACACAACCGTTCAATGCTAAGGCTTCCCGCTAAAATGGAACTGTAGAGGAGAGTCTACTGAACAAGCCAGTACCTGCTGCATACCAGTACTGCCATCTGTTGAGGAGTTACCAAGGTGGAGGCATTAATTTTCATTCAACCTCGTACGTGTAATCATGCTAAAAAATGCTGCTTTTGCAAGGGGGAAAGGCAGACCTTAAACTGATTACTTCTTGCTCTCCACAGGGGATGATTGTAAGTTTGTTTCCCATTGATATCATAGGCCAGCTGGTCGGCCTGCTTCATATGTCGTTGCTCTACTCTCTGTACTGTTTTGAGTACCGTTGGTTTAACAAAGGTTAGTGCGCCTGTTTCTTTCAAAACCTTCCAAATTAACGTTGCAGAACATGTTTTCTGTTTGGATTTTCTTTAAAGACCTGTAAATATTTTCTGTGCCTTGTCTTCTGTTGAGAGGTTTCTGTTCCATGCTGATTTTGTGAAATATATGAAAAAGCCTGGCACTGTCAGACACACTATCAGGTTGCTGTGAGTTTTGCGGGCTGTATGGTCATGTTCCAGAAGCATTCTCTCCTGACATTTCGCCCGCATCTATGACAGGTATAAGGATATTCTGGAACAATCAAGTAGTAGAGAGAAGATTTTAAATAATTTGAATTTATCAAAGAGGACAAGTTATAGAAATAATTGCCCTTCACTGCTTCACCAATTATAAGGAGCCTGGGGAAAACTATACCAGCCAATTGCCGTTAATTATAAGGAACTTAGCAGGGAAAGGAACAGGGAACCAACTTATATATAGGTGCAGGGTAATATTTTAAAGCAGGAAAGAGGCAACTGGGAGATCTTGAAACTGTTTCTTCAATTGTTTTTGCTGCCACCTTTTTGTTTGGTATTTAGGCTGAGTTGTATGTGAAGAGTATACTTGGTAACACCCTTTTGTGTTACAATAATGTTTGTTTTCTCTAGAGGGTTTAAATCACAATGATGTTCACACTTAGGCTGTTGTAAAGTGCTAACAATAATAAAACGTTTATTTAACAGGCTTAAACTTCTTCTGGTACAAATGCGTAGTGGTTTCAGTAAGTTACTGGTACATAAGCTTCTGGTTACATTTGATGTACAATTCTTAGATGGGTTCTGGGTTCAAATCTTGATGTTAACAAAACAGGAGATTATCTCAGGAAATTAATCGCTGATAATAATTCCAAACAAAATTCCCCCTTTCTGGAATATAGCCTTTGGCCTTTGGCCTAGCCTTCCTCAGGGACAAAGAACAGACCACAAACAAGGTCCTGTTCCACTATCTGTATTCCTAGCTAATTTCTCTAGCTCTTGAATACCACAAAAGATTAACCCAGCTCTCCTATCTAACACCAACCAACTGTTATCACCAACTGACAAACTCCCAACGGACAAATTCCAACTGCCAACTCAAGCCTCAGTTCAAAAGGTACACTTTTTTTCTTTTTGAATGCTAGGCTCCGCCCCCTATTTTCTAACCAATCCTGGCCGTCTAATCTCTGCTTCCTGGATTAGGACACGCCCCCTCTAGAAAACCCTTAATTAAGATGGCATCTCCTTGTTTCCCTATCCTAAGATGGCCGCCAGGGCTTCACCAGGCCCACATTCTAGCTGCTTAAGGTAAGGAGTCCTTTACAGCACGCATCCTCAGAGGTTGTGAGGTCTGTTGAAAACTAAGCAAGTGGGATTTCCATATCTATGAAAAGTTCAGGGTTGGAGAAAGAACTCATGTCTGTTTGAAGCAAGTGTTAATGTAGCAATGTAGCATTGAATAACCTTGTAGCTTCAAAGTCCGGCTGCTTCCGGCCTGGGGGAATCTTTTGTTGGGAGATGTTAGCTGGCCCTGATTGTTTCCTGTCTGGAATTCCCCTATTTTCTGAGTGTTGTTATTTATTTACTGTCCATAGAATATAGAATCATAGAATCAAAGAGTTGGAAGAGACCTCATGGGCCATCCAGTCCAACCCCTGCCAAGAAGCAGGAATATTGCATTCAAATCACCCCTGACAGATGGCCATCCAGCCTCTGTTTAAAAGCTTCCAAAAAGGAGCCTCCACCACACTC